TTTGAAATGACAGAACTCAATTCTTTAAGGACCCGTGGGTGTATGCCATCCGGTCCAGGGGCTTCATTCACCTTTATTCTGTCTAAATATTTCTGGATCATATCAATTGTGAGCCAATGTGGATCATCTGTGGCTGTGTCAGTACCCACGCCCATTATGGACAAGAGTCCCCCCATGCTCCTTTGTATACACAGAGCTTAAGAAGGGATTTCATACATTGTTCTTCTCTTTGTCCCCAGTCACCCCCTCTAGATGATTCTGTAAAGGGCCTACATGCTCGGACCGGACCTTTCTACTATTAATATATTGGAAGAATTTTTGGGGGTTGGTCCTGCTATCTTGTGCAATCTCTCATTCATTTCCAATTTTTGCGCCTTTATTTCCTTTTTGGATATTCTGTTCTATTCTTTGTAATGTGTAAACGATGATCGCGTTCCTTCATTTTTATATTTAATGAAAGATCTTTTCTTATTATCTATAGCTTTTGTAACTTTGGCCGTAAGCCACATAGGTTTGATTTTTAGCCTTTTATACTTGTTGCCCATGGGAATATATTTTGGTCCCATACAGTCTTTTTAAAGAACTCCCATTTCTGTGTTGTGTTCATCAATGCCAATATTCCCTCCCAGTCTAAGTCTTGTAGAGTAGCTCTCAGCCTTGGAAAATTAGCTCTCTTAAAATTGAGCATTTTTATTTTCCCGTATGGGCTTGCTGTTTTCAGCTAACATGGAATGAAATCATGTTATGGTCACTGCTACCCAGATGTTCTTTTATATGGACATTGGTAATACGCTCTGCATGGTTTGAGATTACCAGGTCCAGCAGAGCATCATTTCTAGTTGGGGCCTCTATGAACTGTACCATAAAATTGTCCTGTAGTAGGTTTAAACTTTTTTGCCCTTTAACTATACCTGCAGTCAATTTCCAGGTAGTTAAAATCCCCCATTATTATCACTGTCCCAGCCCTTTTGATCTGTGCAAGGAGCTGAGTCTCCACCTCCTCATTAATACTGGGAGGCCTATATCAAACTCCAACGATTACCTTTGAAGCACGCACCCCCATGTGCAGTTCCATCCATAATACTTCAGCCTCATCGCACTCTCCATCAACTAGGTCCTCTTTCACATTCGCTCTGAGATCACGTCTCACATAGAGACAGACACCACCACCTTTCCTATTTACCCCGTCTCTCTGAAAGAGAACATAGCCAGGAATATTAATGGCCCAGTCATGTGAAGAATGAAGCCAAGATTCAGCAATACCAATTAAATCCTAGTTCTCTTCATGCACCAAAGCTTCCAACTTACCGATTATGCTTGGTAGATTTCTGGCATTGGTGAACAAACACTTTAATTGATTGACACCTTGTTCACAAGTATTTTGCATATTTTTTATTTTCATACAAATGGTACCAATTCCACTGGTTGTTTGTAACACGGGAACCTTCTTATCATCTGCCATAGCCTTCTCCCCATCTTTCCCCATTCCACCCACCAATAAGTACTGGCCCTTGTCTGATCTGTCTGCCCCATTATAATCTAATTCTCCCTCCCCCCTCCATCCTAGTTTAAATACTCCTCCAGCCTTCCCATAAACCTCTCCCCCAGCACAGCACACCCCCTTCCATTTAGGTGCAGACCATCTCTAGCATATAAGCTGCACCCCAATGAAAAGTCAGCTCAGTGCTCTAGAAACCCAAATCCTTCCCTCTTACACCAGGAATTCAGCCATGCATTGAGTTCTCTAATCTCCCCCAGTCTTTTCTGAGTTGCCCATGGCACAGCTAATATTTCAGAGAATATCACTTTGGAGGTCCTTCCTTTCAACTTGCAGCCTAGTTCTTTAAATCGGTTCTTAAGGAGCCTCCACCTTCCATGTATTCTGTCATTGGTTCCAACATGAACCAAGACAGCTGGGTCATGCCCAGCCCCTCCCAATAATTTATCAACCTGGTCCACCACATGCCGAACCCTGGCACCAGGGAGACAGCAAACCATTTGGTTGAGGCGATCCAGGCGACAAATTATTCTATCAGTCCTTCTGATCATAGAATCCCCTACTACCACCAGCTGTCTAGGCCTTCCTGCACTACCATTACCACCCCTCCCAGATGGTCTGCCCTTCAGGCTGTTAGGGATAGTGGTGACATCCAGGGCTTCCACCCCTGAGCTTGCCACCCCATCTTCACCCAACTTGGCAAATCTGTTTGGGTGCTCAAACCCAGGGCCGGCCTTCCTTTTCTGTGAGCCCCTACCACTCCCTCTCATTACAGTAACCCATCTTCCTACCTGATAATCCTGATTAGCCCCTCCGCCCTCCACATCAATCCCATTAGCTACCTGCTCAGAGAATAGAAGACCCCTTTCAAGGTTGTCTGTTCTGCCCAGTGTTGGAACTTGCTTCTCCAGATCTCTAACGCGAGCTTCCAGAAGGGCAACCTGCTCACATCTGTCACAGTGGTATCCATCCTGGAGCTGTTGCTCCATTGTTGCATACATGCGGCACTCCACCCCGCTAGCACTCATATCCCAGTTACAATATTAACAGGAAAGATCAGTTGTCACCCACAGGTCAGTAGACTCCTGTTGTAATCTCCTGTTTTCCAACTCCACTTAATCAAATGTCCACTTGGTCAAAGGTCCAGTAAGCAAAATACAGGCAAGCTCAAGAATGAGCACACTCAGAGTGAGCTCTACAGCAAGTTATATAAGACCTGCATCACCTGTGACCAATTAACCCCTCCCCTTAATTAGCAGACTGAAGGAAGGCAAATTTCCCACTCTTTTTAGCTATCAGCCAGCAAAATGTTCAAGAGTCGTTATCAACGAGAAGAACAGTGCCCCGTTGATGGTGTCAGTAGGGGGAATGGTGTCCCATCCTTGGTGTCTGTTGGTGGAATAGTGCCCCAAGGACTAAAGCCACATCCAGCCACTGAGCTGCAGTTGGGGAACCAGTGATTTAGGGGTAATTTCCCCCCAAAAATTCAGATTTTAACATGTGCATGAAAAAAAAAAAATTGCCCCAGTAGACAAGTGATTAAGGAAGAGTGTTTTACAGTGAAGGAAATGCGTATTTGCTCCCCGGCTGATTTTGAATGTTTACCCACTCACAAAGAAATGATCGGTCTAAAAATCGAATGTTCGGTGTATTGTAACACTGAGACAGAATACAACAACAAATTCAAAAGAAATGCGTCTAACAAATGATGACTGATCTGCATGTTCATGAGGGAAATAAGTATTTGATCCCCTTCACAAAACATGACTTAGTACTTGGTGGCAAATCCCTTGTTGGCAATCACAGAGGTCAGACGTTTCCTGTAGTTGGCCCCCAGGTTTGCACACATCTCAGAAGGGATGTTGGCCCACTCCTCTTGGCAGATCCTCTCCAAGTCATGAAGGTTTGGTGGCTGACGTTTGGCAACTCGAACTTTCAGCTCCCTCCACAGATTTTCAGTGGCAAACTTCAGACGGGCCTGGACATGTGCTCTCTTGAGCAGAGGGACCTTGCGGGCACTGCAGGATTTCAGTCCTTGTCGGCATAGTGTGTTACCAATTGTTTTCTTGGTGACTGTGGTCCCAGCTGCCTGGAGATCATTGACAAGATCCTCACGTGTAGTTCTGGGATGATTCCTCCCTGTTCTCATGATCATTGACACTCCACGAGGTGAGATCTTGCATGGTGCACCAGACCTAGGGAGACTGACACTTGTTTTGTGTTTCTTCCATTTGTGAATGATTGCACCAACTGTTGTCACCTTCTCACCAAGCTGCTTGGCCATAGTTTGGTAGCCCAGTCCAGCCTTGTGTAGGTCTACAATCTTGTCCCTGACATCCTTGGACAGCTCTTTGGTCTTTGCCATGGTGGAGAGTTTGGAATCTGATGGTTTGATTGCTCCTGTGGACAGGTGTCTTTTATACAGGTAACACAATGAGATTAGCAGCACTCCCTTTAAGAGACTGCTTCTAATCTCAGCTTGTTACCTGTATGAAAGACACCTGGGAGCCAGAAATCCTGCTGAATGATAGGGGATCAAATCCTTATTTCCCTCATGAACATGCAGATCAGTCATCATTTGTTAGATGCATTTCTGCTGAATTTGTTGTTGTATTCTGTCTCTCAGTGTTACAATACACCGAACATTCCATTTTTAGACCGATCATTTCTTTGTGAGTGGGCAAACATTCAAATTCAGCAGGGGGTCAAATACGCATTTCCTTCACTGTAAAGCACTCTTTCTTAACCACTTGTCTACTGGGGCAATTATTTTTGTCATGCACATGTAAAAATCTGAATTTTGTTTCTGGAAATTACATTAAACCCCCTAAACTCCGGCTCAGGGGCTGGATGTGGCCCTTTGCTTGCCTTTATCTAGTCCTTGGGGCACTATTCCACCAACAGTCACCAAGGATGGGACACCATTCCCCCTACTGACACCATCAATGGGGCACTATTCTTCTCATTGATAACAACTCTGGCACATTTTGCTGGCTGATAGCTAAAAAGACATTTGAGTGGAGAGCGAAAAAACTGTTTTACTTTTGACTGCTGGTGATTGTTGGTGCTTGTAGTTGTTTTCATTTCTTCTTTGGCTTGCTAGAAGCTTTTACTTTTTTACTTTTCACTTTTTCTGTCCCTTTTTAAATAGCATTTGTTTTTCTTCCTTTCCTTGCCTTCCTTCAGTCTGCTAATTAGGGGATGGATGCAGGGGCGGACTGACAACTCATGGGGCCCCCGGGCAATAGGGGATCATGGGGCCCCTGTGTCCTTCCACAAACTCAAAAAAGCCTATGAAAAAGGTACCAGGGGCATCTCATGGGGCCCCTACTGACCCCGGGCCCTGGGGAAGTGCCCGAGTTTCCAAATGGTCAGTCCACCCCTGGATGGATGAGGATGGTAGGAGAACTGTAAATGTATTTTTTTTTTAACAACAATTGTGATTAAGTTCCAGTCAAAGCTGAATGAAATGTTCTCTGAAACCTCTTTAATACTACGTTGCTCAATGCCTGTTCCATGGAAATGTACTTTGATTGTGAAAGAGAATCCTTTTGACCCGTTGTCGAATTTTCTTTGTCTTCACCCCGTAGACGAGCGGGTTCCAGAAGGGCAGGAATAAGATAAAAAAATTGGAGGAGAGGATGTGGACATTGGGAGGGATGGTGTCCTGCCCGAACCTGTATGTGACAAATGAGAAAATTGCACTGACATACGCAATCACAATAATACTGATGTGGGAGCCGCACGTTCCTACAGCTTTCTGACGGGCATCCTTGGTGGGCATCTTGAAGATGGCTTGTAAGATCATGGAGTAGGACAGTCCAATGAAGAGCAGATCAAACCCGGTGACAGAAAGAGACACAACTAACCCATAAACACTGTCCACGTGTTTGTTGCCACATGCTACATTGACCACGGCCATGTGATCGCAGTATGAGTGTAGTACAACATTGTCACCGCAGTACTGGAGCTGTCCTACCAGGACGGGAATGGGGAAAATGACTACAATGGCTCTGAGCAGAATAATAAGTGCAATCTTTTGCAGGAGGCCGTAGGTGAGGAGCGAACTGTATCTGAGCGGGGAACAGATGGCCACAAAACGGTCATATGCCATGGCGGCCAGGATCCCCGACTCGGTGACTGAAAGACAATGGACAAAGAACATTTGCGTCAGACAGCTGGTGGCATCGATAAGACCACCGTCCATCCAGAAGATCCCCAGAGTCTTTGGCACGGTAGAGCTGCAGAAGGCCAAGTCGTTGAGGGCAAGCATGGAGAGGAAGAAATACATGGGGGTATGGAGGCTCTCCTCGGTTTTGATGATGTACAGTAAGATGCTGTTGCCCAGGATGGCCAGGATATAGAGGACACAGAAGACGACTGATGTCCACATGACTCCATTTTCCAAACCAGGGATTCCAATGAGGAGGAACGTAGACGGCATGTGGAAACTAGTGTTGGGAACAGGGAGCATGGCCAGTTACTGTCAGGAACAAAGCAACCAATCACTGATAAAAATAAACACTTATAATGAGAAATTAACAAGATGGCAACATTAACCTGTCAATACAAATACTTTGCCTGCAGCAAAAGGGTTCAAAGCAATGCGTGGTTCCTCTCAATGTTTTTGGGGGTTCTTTACTTTGGGTTGGTTTAAACAACCCCAAAGACCACCAGACCATTCATTTCAACAACAACCTTCCCCTAAAAATGTACTTGCATGTAACATATTTTAGCCATGTTAGTTATCTGTAAAAGCCTACCTTGTGTAGACATAACCCCTCCCCCCCCCCACAGAGATTGCTGCTGGGTGCCACCATCTTGGATCTGAGGTCACAAGCCCAAGCTGATTCAGAGCTGTCACCCTATGGTATTCACTTTTGCACCTTTGCCCCTTCCCTGGCAGCTACATAAAAGATCAAATGGGGAGGAGCTGGGCCAGCACTGTCAGTTATTAGACATTACCAGAACAGAAGACGTCTGTGATGTGTATTGGAGATGGAGGTTGTGTTAGGGATCTGACTCTTAACACTACACTGACCGCCAATGTAAGGAGACACTACACTGAGCGCCAATGTAAGGACACACTACACCAACCACCAATGTAAGGAGACACTACACCGAGCGCCAATGTAAGGAGACACTACACCGACCACCAATGTAAGGAGACACTACACCGACCACCCATGTAAGGAGACACTACACCGAGCGCCAATGTAAGGAGACACTACACCGACCACCAATGTAAGGAGACACTACACCGACCACCAATGTAAGGAGACACTACACCGACCACCAATGTAAGAGAGACACTACACCGACCACCAATGTAAGGAGGAGACACTACACCGACCACCAATGTAAGGAGACACTACACTGACCACCAATGTAAGGAGACACTACACTGATCACCAATGTAAGGAGACACTACACTGACCACCAATGTAAGGAGACACTACACTGATCACCAATGTAAGGAGACACTACACTGATCACCAATGTAAGGAAACACTACACTGACCACCAATGTAAGGAGACACTACACTGACCACCAATGTAAGGAGACACTACACTGATCACCAATGTAAGGAGACACTACACCGACCACCAATGTAAGGAGACACTACACTGATCACAATGTAAGGAGACACTACACTGACCACCAATGTAAGGAGACACTACACTGATCACCAATGTAAGGAGACACTACACTGATCACCAATGTAAGGAGACACTACACTGACCACCAACTTAAGAAGGCAGACAATGACCACCAATGTAAGGAAACACTACACTGACCACCAATGTAAGGAGACAGTACACTGACCACCAATGTAAGGAGACAGTACACTGACCACCAATGTAAGGAGACAGTACACTGACCACCAATGTAAGGAGACAGTACACTGACCACCAATGTAAGGAGACACTACACTGACCACCATTGTAAGGAGACACTACACTGATCACCAATGTAAGGAGACACTACACTGACCACCAACATAAGGAGGCAGACAATGACCACCAATAAAAGGAAGCGCTACACTGACCACCAATGTAAGGGTTACCTACACTGACCACTAATTTAAGGAGGCAGACAATGACCACCAATATGAGGCACCAATATAAGGCAGCACTATGTTGACCACCAATGTAAGGGTTACCTACAGTGACCACCAATGTAATGGAGACAACACAGACAACCAGTATAAGAGGTCCACTATGCTAATTTCATCCCAGGCCCTCTGCCATTCGCCACATTTCTTGTAATGGGCATCGCTGGGGTTGTAAGGATTTTCATGGGCCTCCACTAGGAGAATGAAAGTTTCCACATCAAGTATGGACACTCCTGAATTTTCTATTTTGTTCACAGGCCTGATATTGCTGGAAGTCCAGGTGTTAGGTGCAAAAAAGTAATAAAACCCATTGAGGTCTACGTGGCCAAAACATATGATTCTGCCCCCCCAAAAAAACTCATGTACTTGAACAGGGGCCCATGACATGTAAATGTAACCGCATTCAAAGGCTAGGGCAAATTCATGAAGGACAGGGGTCCTTCCCCAGGCAATGATTGGTGCAGGAGGGTCCTAGGTATGGAGTTTGCTGTGGTTGGGAAAGAACGGCACTTGGAGGAGAGCAAACAAAGTGAGATGTTGGAAAAGGGACGGCCTATCAAGGTGGCCATACCTCCCAATGGTCTGAGATGACAAAGAAGGCCCCTTTGTAGCACGAAATATGTCGGCAATCCACTGAGTGCCCACCAAACAATCCCAATACAGTACCTAGTGCTGTAGGCACCGACCCACCAACATCTACTGCAGCTTTTTCCCAACCAGGTTTCCTCCCGAGGTTGCTTGGAGTTTGAGGAACAATGAGCAGCTTCTGGTTCTTAGACAAGTAACCACTGACCACAAACGACCACCAGGGCTGGTGGGGGGAACGCAGCTCTGGCACCTCCAGCACTGAATGAATGTAATGGCAAGGGGTGGTGGGGCGTATTGCAGGGTTCATTGATGCTGGCTGATGGGGGATCTATTTTTATAGAGGGGAGTCTACTGATGATGAGGAGGTCTAATGTTCATAGTGAGGTATCTATTGTTGCTGGGGAGTCTTATGTTGATGTGGGGTCAGTAGTGTATTTAGTTCATGTGCTGCCCTAAGCAACACTAAAATTGGGTACAATCTGGCCACAGCACATCCCTCCCTCCCCACCACCACCACAATCCACCACCGCAATCCCCCCACCACAGCTCATCCCTCACCCCACCATCACCGCAGCCCACCACAACACATCCCTCCCCCTCACCACCACCGAAGCCCACCACCGCAATCCCCCCACCACAGCACATCCCTCCCCCCAACCACCACCGCAATCCCCCCACCACAGCACATCCCTATCCCTCCCCCTCACCACCACCGCAGCCTACCACCGCAATCCCCCCACCACAGCACATCCCTCCCCCTAACCACCACCGCAATCCCCCCACCACAGCACATCCCTCCCCCTCACCACCACCAAAGCCCACCACTGCAATCCCCCCACCACAGCACATCCTTCCCACCACCACCGCAGCCGACCACCACAATCAGCCCACAACAGCACATCCCTCCCCCTCACCACCACCAAAGCCCACCACCGCAATCCCCCCACCACAGCACATCCCTCACCACCACCGCAGCCCACCACTGCAATCCCCCCACCACAGCACATCCTTCCCACCACCACCGCAGCCGACCACTGCAATCCCCCCACCACAGCACATCCATCCCCCTCACCACCACCAAAGCCCACCACCGCAATCCTCCCCACCACAGCACATCCCTCACCACCACCACAATCCCCCCACCACGACACATCCCGCTAACACCTCGCCCCCTTCCACCGTGACCACCCAATTCATGGACTAACCTTAACAGCCGCAATGAAAGAAGCAGCCAGCCATCCCCCCCGCACCCTCCAGCAGAGCACATCCTCCTCCAGATCTCATGGCGGAGCTGACCAGGTCCCCATTCCTGCCACCCGTGTACCTTCATCCTGGGGGGAATTCCACCCCCCTGAAAATTGCCGCCCTATGCAAGTGCCTTGCAGTAAGTATGCCGCTGTGGGGTAGAGGGATCTACTGTTGAGGGAGGGGTCTTTCGTTGCTTGCTGTTGGAGGGTCTATTGATGCTGACTGAAGGGAGATCTGTTGATGCTGCTGGGGGGTATTTTGTTGCAGGTGGTCCATTGTTGCTGGGGGATCTATTGTTGTTGGCTGCAGGGGATTATTTTACTGGGTTTTTTTGTTAATATTACAAATTCATATGACGTCCTCCCATTCTAACCGCGCGAGTGCGACCTCGGGGGGCACAGCGTGGCGATCGGTGGTGCGCTGTGTCCCTGAGACACAGTGGATCACCGATCAGCGGAAAGAGCCGATGACATTGGCTCTGTCATGTGATCAGCCGCGTCCAATCACAGATGATCGCATGTAAATAAGGAAATGCCGGTTATCGGCATTCCTCGGAGGGGACATGTACACTGATCATCAGAGGCACTGATGATCAGTGTAGCCCCATCAGTGCCACCTGTCAGTGTCCATCAATGCTACCTGTCAGTGCTCATCAATGAAGGAGAAAAAATCACTCATTTACAAAATTGTATAACAGAAACTATGAAAAAAACATTTTTTTTCAAAATTTCCAGTTGTTTTTGGTTTATTTAGCAAAAAATAAAAAACCCTGAGGTGATTAAATACCACCAACAGAAAACTCTGTCTCAAAAAAATGATACAAATTTCATATGGGTACAGTGTTGCATGACCGCACAATTGTCATTCAAAGTGTGACAGCACTGAAAGCTGGAAATTGACCTGGGCAGGAAGGGGGTGAAAGTGTCTGGAAGGTGAGGGGTTAAAAATACAAACCTACATTTTTGGAACGCACTTACAAATATATAGAAAAATTACTTTTTTATAGGTTAAAAAAAAATCTGAAAAATATATTTAAAAAATATATATTTTTAAAAATATTTTTCATATATTTTGTAATATATAAAAAACGCATTTCAGCATGCAGTGTATATATATATATATATATATATCAGGGGCGGACTGACAACTCATGGGGCCCCCGGGCAATAGGATCATGGGACCCCTGTGTCCTTGCCCAAACTCAAAAAAGCCTATGAAAAAGGTACCAGGGGCATCACATGGGGCCCCCTACTGACCCTGGGCCCTCGGGCAGTGCCCGAGTTTCCAAATGGGCAGTCCATCCCTGATATATATTTATTGAAATATATTGAATATGGGCAAAATTGTAGCATTTCAAATATATTTTTCTTCCACGTGGGTGGGCAAGACCAAAGAGCTGTCAATGGACATCAGTGACAAGGCTGTAGATCTGCACAAGGCTGGAATGGGCTACAAGACCATCAGTGAGAAGCTTGGTGAGAAGGTGACAACT